AGTCAGGGAAATATTTTTCAAAGAAACTTTGCCACAATTTTTTCCACACGAGCCGACCTCCAACCTCCCTGTCCCTCCCCTCTGGGAAGGAAGGAACACTCGTGACTTTTCTAGCCAAGTATTTCCTGGAGCTCTATGGTACTTGGTCATTTTTTCTTATAAAAGGAGGTAAAGGGCGGGGGAGGGGGGTCAGTTTTCTTGCTTTAAAATTTTAATATCTTCAATGAAAGTACTGAGACAGAGAGAGAGGGTTAGACAGAGTGTCTTTTGTCTTGCCCGGTTAGGATTTCTTAAGCAAATCCACTGGGCTTTCAACATGAAGCCAGAAAATCGGGACTTTTTAAAAACGCCCCGGGACACGGGACAAATTGTTAGAAATTATGACTGTCCCGCCAAAATTGGGACATCTGGTCACCTTAGTCAACATGGCCACACCCATGCAGTCACAGTCACTAAGCCACACCCACAGAACCGGTAGTAAAACAAATTGAATCCCAACACTGCCCCAATCCCTGAAGCTGCTCATTCGAGCTAGCCATTCTGCATGCAGCAAGCTAACTGGGCCCAAACTAAGGCTGCAGGCCTTCCTGGCAGAGAAGCTGAAGACTTTTATTCGGATGGGGAAAGCTGTTTTCCTTACGTCTCACGTTCTTACAGCTTCCCTGGCTTCTGAATAAAAGACTTTGGCTTCTCTGCCATGTGACTCAGCCTCTGCTGCAGCTCTTCAAAAGCCATGGGAAATGGGGTGGGGAGGGTGGATTGGGCCCAGGAACCCTCCCTTTCAGCCTGTAAGAGGCCAGGGAGTTCTAGGGAGTCCTGGACCACGTGGGAGGCTGGGCCAAGGCTGGTAAGCTGGCTGGGCCGCAGAGACCGTGTGGTCGAGGCAAGCAATCAGACACAGCAGCAGCACCTATGCCAGGCGAGTGGACGAGATGAGGAGTGATCGGGGGGGGCAGCCAGAAGTTTTACGACTGGTTCGGTCAAACCGCCCCAAAGCAGCAGAATCCCACCACTGCGGAGCTTTCCCTTTTTTTGGGGGGGGGGGGACTTTGGGTCCGATGATTCCAGCATGTTAGTTAAGGATACTCCATTTCTTAATGGATATACTTAAAATCTAGTATGAGCTTTGATGGCATCATATGCATCTTAACTTCATTTTACAAATGTCACATGTTATATGTGCTACATTATCTGAATAGATGCAATGTCAGTTTCTCATCCTCCCCGCCAGGACTTTGGCTCTGCTCTTGAGTCTCTCTCACCTTGGTGTCCCCTGGATCTAAACTGTGAGAATTTCCAATGATCAGGTGAACGGTTGGGAATTTGGGGAATTATGGCCCAGTCACACAAAAAGTTGTTCTACCAAATTCAAAAATTACTCTTCCAATTTCTTTTTATATTCCTTTAGGGTGCCAGAAAAGATCACCTAAAGAATGGATACAAAGCAACTGGAAGAGATTTCAAAATCATGCCTCCTATAATGACTATACAAAGATCTGGAGTGGTTTTGATGGGGTAAAGTTTTTTTTCCTTCACTTCATTGGCCTTTGATAAAGAGTTTCAACTAGCAAAACCGGTTGAACATTCAACAGATACTATAGCACCATGATGGTGAACCTATGGCACACCTGCCCAAAGTGGCACGTGAAGCCATATCACCTGGCAAGCACAGCCTAGCCTGTTTGTCTTCTGGGTTTCTGGTGAGCATGCATGTGCGACGATCAGTTGTCCTTTGTGTGCGTGGCAGGGCTGAAAACCAGTGTGTGCATATGCGCAGCCCAGATGTTTGTTGGGTGCACATGTGTGCCAGAACCCAGAAGTTTGGTTTTTCTGGAGCACAATCTCTTCACACGCACGGCAATGTCAAAAACCAGCCTGCACATGTGCACCTGCTAACTGATTATTGGGTGCACATGCCTTCTAGAACCTAGAAGTTAAGTTTTTCTGGAGTATGATCCCTTCGGGTATGCGGCAGTGCCAGCTGATCATTGGATGCTCATGCACATCCTTGACAAGCATGCATGCGCACAATGTTTGCCATCACTGCTATAGCAGCACTAAATGAATACTGTAAGCTTTTTGTTCTAAGTTCAAGTACTGTTGTCGGTTTTTAAACAGGTGAAAGATAACCTTAGGCACACATGCTCTTTAAAAAAAACAGTGAGAATTCTGTACATGCTTGGAAAATTTTGGAAATAAATAAAAATTATCACAAAAAGAATGGTTATTTGTATTTTGCTTATCAGCCCACTGGGCAAATCCATGTCCCTTAAAAGTTATTTCAAGGCATATATTGGAGGTATTTTATCATTAAAATAATTATTTTCATTTTTTACCCCATAGGTCACACAAGGCAGCAACTAGCTGTGTTGCTCTTTAGCTATTTCAGCTTAATCAGTGAAAGTTTCCCTGGGGGTGCACCATTCTCACTCTCTTCTCTTCGCATCTTTCTAGTTTGCCGCTCTCAATGTCTTTACCGCTTCCCAGCTGGCCCAGCTGATTGTCACTCATAAGGTCCTCTCCAATCTCACCCTAATGGAACCTGTTGCCAAAGCCCTCAGCAGCCAGGATGTTGTCTATATAGAGGGCTTCCTGGATGAGTTGTCTCGATCACCTCTTGACCTCCTGCTTGACCACAAAGCTGCATATCTTGCCCTGGAGACCATTCTGACCAAGATCAACCACAGCTTCCCTGATCTTTGCTCGCCCTCCCTGAAAGACCTGTTCCAAATCAAACTTGTGCGCTTGCTGCCCTTTGTTGATACCAAGATAATGATGCTGTTTCCAACTCAGATAGGCTGTGTGGACTTCCATGATATGTAAGTTTCTTCAGGTTTGGAATAAGGTGTGTGGGGGGGGTGGGGGGAGTCAAGATAGTGATTATGATGAAGCTTCATCTTTTTTTAGCGGTCATTGCATATGTAACATATAAATGAGGTGACACATTTTGTATGGTTGTCATATCTGCCCCAATCTGATCCCCTAGGGAAGTAAAACTCTCAATTCCATTTGATTAAAGCGAAAGGTATTTTTACTAAGAGATGCTGATTGCAGTAGAGTCATATGGAATTTAAAGTTCTCGCACATCAATACAAAACTAACACCTTGGTTTCTCCAGCCCTCTCCCCATATTCCATCCATCTGTAGCTAATCCAGCACCACTGAGATGTTTTGGGAAGCACTGAGGTGTTTCCACTCTCAGGGTAAACGGCCTTGAATTTGCCGGCACAAGCCAGATTCCAAAACACTCTGTTCTTCCTCAGCTGTCAATCATGTATCATTTGTAAAGTGCAGAATATATAAATTGAATTACAATAGTAAAATAAAATATTGTTTAATATGATAGAATAGCTATATTAGCTTTGAGGTACTCTTTACCTCAGAGAGATATATAGAAATGTAGCACTTCAGTTTTCTTCAGCAAAGAAGCTTGGAGTCACTGTTCATGATTCTATAAAGCTCCCGCATCTATTCCCTAGATCATACAACTGCCTTCTGCAGCTATCATAAGCCTCATGGAAAAGACACAGCTGTTTTCAAGAGTTGCTGACGGGATTAACATTTGTGCCCCACACATTCCAAAGCATCTTTTCAGAGTTGAATAAAAAACACTACACACTTTCTAGTTAGCACATTCATGATTTTTAATGGCAATATAACTCTCATATAATTTTTATTTTCTATGTTCCATTTCAAGCAATGTCAAATGTGTTTTATTTAATGGAAATATACTTTGCCAACTAGTTTCTGGAAGTAAAGTGATGTAATAATAATGGTGTATAGGGTGGTATAACTAGAAGGTCTGATGGGAGATCGGAGAAAAGTAGTTCTGTTGTGTTTGTGCTGATCTGGAATGATGATTAGAGAAAAGAGAAAGCACAGCAATGTAAAATCTAGCTTTGTTCAAAAGTGGGACTGCAGTCCTGTGTTGCTTGACATGCAGCATGCAAGCATTCATTTTCTTTTCTTCTTTTGCAGCTACAAAGGCCTAAATTCTGTTTATTTCAAATTAAATCCAATGACTCAGCTTGCTGTCTTTCAAAATCGTTTGAATTTCCTTGAAGGACAGCTTGCGAAAGAAGGTGACTGTTTCTGATATGCTGTGTTTTTCTTGCTATTTGTTTCCTTCTGAATAATTCCAAAAATAAATTGAAATCATTTTGGGCTAGTGCCCATGAACACAAAGTTGCTCAGCTCTAACCAACCTCAAATCTTAATGCTGTCATGAAATGTTTATTTATTTATCATATGTAAACTTCACCTTTTGTGACAGAAGCTCAAGATAATATACATAGTGCTTCCTGCTGTTTTCTCCCAATAGGTTGTGAAGCAGGTTGGACAGAGGGAAAGTCATTGGACTAAAGTCACCAGTGAGCTTCCTTGGCTGTGTGGGAATATAACTCAAGTCTCCTAACTCTTAGTCCAATACCTGTCCCCCCACCCTACCCCATCTTGGCTGCCTCAAGATGTAGGCCAGGACCCAATCCACTAGAGAGATTTTTCATGTGGGCTCCCTTAAAATAACATAAAGCTGTATGCATATAACTATGCGATTGATTCTATTTTGGCATCACTCAGTTCCAAAATATGTATAAAATCTTCCTAGTGATTTTGCAGGGCAGTTTTACAAAGAATGTCCTCTTTTTCTGGACAAAAATGCCTCATCATTTCAAATATGTGAATTGACTTTGTAAGAGCTAACATCTCCCATATTGAACAAAGTAATGTTTTGCAGAAATTTGGAATAAATAAAGCAGCTTCAACCAAATGTTCCACACATATGAAAGTAAAACTTTTGTGTGCTTGCTTTGGATGTACAGATATTGTTCAGGGGATGGAAAATGAATGTAAAGATGGATAATGTCCTGGATAAGGTGACAGAGGAAACGTGAGACAAAGAAGCAGAAATGGGGCAGGACTGGCACATAAGGAAAGATTGGTCAAACTATGATTTCTGTTTAATTAAACTTTCTTGTTTGTGCATGTATTGTAGGAGTTGCATGTACATTCACAGTTTCAAACAGTAGAGATTGGCTGCAGGAAAACTTTGGACATTCCAGTTACTTGGCTAATTACAGCAACTTTGTACACTTGAATCCATCTTTCAATGGAGTAAGTACTATTTCTTTCTCCATATACCTAAATCACTTAAGGTAGCTCATCCAAGCTGTCTCCACTTATCACTGAGACCCAGAGACCCAGAGGATGAACAAAGGTGGGAAATGTAATATGTGAGTCATGCAAATTGCACAGTTCATATACAGTTACTAACAGCAGTTACTAACAGCAGTGAGGTGACACGAGGCTGGATCCAGGTGGTTGTTGCCGCCTCCCTTCAGGAGGGGCACTTCCCCACCACACTTAAAGCGGCGGTGGTGAGACCCCTCCTGAAGAAACCATCCTTGGATCCAGCTGTACTCAACTGTATCGTCCAGCCTCCAACCTCCCCTTCGTAGGGAAGGTTGTTGAGAAGGTGGTGGCCTTCCAGCTTCAACGGTCC